TCTCAGCTCTGCCTTCGGATGAGTCCGTAGAGTCGAGTGGCCCGTTTGCAGAGCTTGTTGGCTGCCTCATGTACCTGATGACCTGCACTCGACCTGACCTCGCATACCCTCTTAGCATTCTCGCACGCTTTGTTGCTCCTGGGAGACACCGACCAGAGCACATGGCTGCAGCGAAGAGGGTGTTGCGCTACTTGTGCAGTACGTCGGGCATGGGGCTAGTGCTTGGAGGGCGCAGTCCAGTGGTCCTCACTGGGCACGCAGACGCTTCTTGGGCTGACGACCAGGCTACGCAGCGGTCGTCACAGGGTTACACCTTCAGCCTTGGTTCCGGCTCTGTCTCGTGGCGGGCTACCCGCTCGTCTTCTGTTCTCGGCTCCAGTTGTGAGGCTGAGATCTACGCTGGGGCTATGGCTGCGCAGGAGTTACGCTGGCTCACCTACCTGCTGACCGACCTTGGAGAGCAGCCTCGTTCTCCTCCAGTGCTGTACGTAGACAACAAGGCCATGCTGGCCTTGTGTCGAGAGCAGCGACTGGAGCACAGAACGAAGCACATTGCTCTCCGCTACTTTCTTGCTCGTGAGCTACAGCAGCGTGGACAGTTGCGACTTGCGTACGTGGCCTTTGAGGCCAACACTGCTGATGTCTTCACCAAGGCACTTGCGCCTTGTGATCATCAGCGTTGTTGCACGCAGTTGGGTCTTGTGCCTGTCTTGCCTCACTTGCTCTCCTCTTGACCTTGCTTGTACCTTTGCCTATATATACTCTTGCTCTTGCTTGCTTGACTCTTGTATATCTCTATATATGATCTTGCATGTGAACTGGCCGTCTGGCCTTTGAACTTGTGCTCGGAATGCGTGGTGACTTTGTGATCCACCCTGAGCTTTGCTTTGCTTTGCTTGACTGGTCTTGTGACCCCTTGTTCTCCCCCACTTTGCCTATGGGAGTGTGTCAGAACATATAGCTTACTTGTTTCTGTAGGCTGTAGTGGGGTAGCACATAAAGGGTACAACCCAATTAGGGTTGGTACTTGTACTGTTTTCATTTCATAGTTGACCATTCCTGTTCATTTAGTTTCATAGACGTTCCCGGCGAAGAAGTGGCCCGATCACCTGTATTCGTCGGGTGTCGAAGGTCTCGGCTCGACGGACGCCATACTGCTGCAGGTGCTGCGCGTGGCAGCGCAGGTCTGTACGCAATGGTGCTGCTGTCGAGCTGCTGCCCGCTTGCTGGAGGACGCGGGCTATGGCAGCCTGGCTATGCCAGAAGAAAAGAGCAAGGCGAAGCAGGGCGACGAGGATGCAGCTGAGACGGAAACGGGCGGGCAAGGGGAGTAGTCTAGGCGGGCGCTTTGCGTGGGGGTGTTTGCTATTCTCGACATTTGTGCTTGTTGAAATCGACAGAATGTACATTCTGCATGGATCTTGACTTTCCGTTTGCGATAATGCTCAGAAGGTTCATACAGGCGAGATGGTCGGTCAGTAATGAGAACCTGCCATGCAATCTCTGAAAGAACACCCTACTCTAGTTTCCCCCCTCGTCACGATTGCCTGTCGAACTTGGGCTCTCGCCCAATGTTTTCATGAACTCGATCCATTTGTCTTTGAACACGTTCTCGGCCCATTTCGTGGTTCGAAGCTCGACGCGAATGAGCTCTCGCGTGATCCTGAGGCGATCTTTGTCCTTCCGGTTGTCATCTGCTGTCTCGATTTTGCGCTTCTTTGTGAGCTGCTTCCCCGAATCCTCTTTGAGAACGAGCCCTTCAGCCAGCATGTTGATCGAGTGGTTCTTGACTATTGAGTCAAGCTTATCAATGATCGTCGACGTAGCCGCCCTGCTATCATCGACCCTGAACATCTCGACGGCCCTCATGACAACCTCCATCTTCCGCAATCTCGACTCGACAGCTTTTGGGGTCGGTGGCTTTTCTGCTGGCTGGTCCACCGCACCGGGTGGAACGGTGGGAGGAGTCGGAGTGAACTTGCTGTACTTGACGGCGAAACCCCTCCTGTAAGCGTGTCGAAGACTGTGTCCGTCGTTCAGCGGGCTGGGCCCGTCCCAGTACGACCACGCCTGCCGCACGGTCTCGCAAGTGCACCACGGCCACACCACTGCGTCGAAGAATGTTTGGTCGAGCTGGCTGCCCGTGCTCTGTTGAGTGGGTGTTGATTGAGGGGGCTGCTGTGGTGGCGGGGTGGTTTCTTCGGTCGCCGTCTGCGGCACACTCTCGCTCCCCCCTACATTCGCAGCTGCGGTTGTCGCGGCGGTAATCTTCAGTGCGTCGAACGCTTTCTGCAGTAGAGCGAGTGCTTCTGCCTTCGCCTCCAACTCCGCTTGCATCGCGGCCTTCTCCCGCTCCAATGACTCGACCTTCTGCTCGAGGCCCTTGATCTTGATTTCTTTTTTCCCACCCTCCTCCTTGTGTAAGTTTACCTCTGCCCGAAGTTGCGTGATGAGGTGCTTGGTGTTGAGTTGAAAGGATGCGTCCTGCGCATAAGATCACGAGCGGTAGGTAAGTGGGCTGATGCAATCTGTTTGGATTAAAATTTATAAGGGCCATCTTACAGAGGCTCTCGACAGTGTGGGGTTGGTCCGCATCTCGATGCCGTACTTGTCGAGCAGGTACACGTCAAGCGCCCATTTTTGGAAATCCATGTCCTTGCACAAACCGGACATCTGTACATAAGGGTGACGCTCGCAGTCGCAAACAGTCACTCCGTCGAAGGGGTGGTTGTCACAATGGACGTAGTACATCGCAAGATCCTCGGCGATGGGCATTCGGGCGACTTGCAGGGCCTTCAAGAAACTTTTCGCTGCGAAGAACATATGCTCCTTGTCCTGCTCGTTGTTCCATTCCATCGCCTGAACAAGAACAAACAGGGTGACATTGAGAGATAGATCGAATGCAAAAACTTGCATTCGATGATCACGCAAAGCGCTCGACGCATCCATACCTCGTCGAGCCACTGCTCCGCCTTTGGAAATATGTGCTCCTCGATAGCCTTCAGGACCTTCGCGGGTATTTCGGTCTTCGATCTTCCAAGGTAATAGTCACCGGGTTCCGTCGTGAAACCCGCTTGCAGCTGGATGGCCCCTCGCGGGATGCCTGTGACGTATGACCTGCGCATCTCGTTCATGTCCCATTGACCCAGCTGCGCGATGTTGTCGAGTTCACAGTTTTTGTCGGCGAGGATCTGTGCCGCAGACCGTCGAAAAATATGTGTGACTTTCGACAGGATCCACTCCGCGCTTTTCATCGCCCAGGTAACCCATTTGGCATGAGTCGCGTACGGCAACTCGGTCTTATCCCTGTCGAAGAGGGCGAAGAACAGGTGCTTTTTTGACCAGTTTTCCGGGTTGCTGAAATCCAAGGGGGGCACGATCTTATCGTTGTTGTAGTGGAGCGGCACAAGGTCGAAAATGAAATGTATCCACATGAACACTGCTCCGAAGCCGCACTGCCGGAAGTCCATGTGTCGAGTCAGGTACAGGTGGCCGAGCTTGTTGTCTTTGATGGTCTTCGAGTTGCGATAGGCGACCACGAGAACGTGGATCGACGATTCCCCCTTGCTGTTCGTGATGGGCGGAAGGACGTGAGTGAACATATTGCAGTAGCGGATCTCGCGGATGCTTATCCCCCTGCCCAGCATGTGATGCGCCATCAGGATCATCACCCTCACGGCCAAGGCCCTCCACAGCGACTGACTGGGGTAACTCATCGACTCCCGAAAGTACTCCTTGGCCCAGTACGGCAGGATGTCTGAAACGAGAATGCGGAACTGCTCCTCCGTGTAAACATCGTCGAGCGAGCCCCGGTGTGGATCGACGCACTGCCTGCATTGGGTGGGCAGATACAGCGAACACTTGGGTGAGAATTTGAGCGGTGAGTTTTAGAGTCCGGTGCATGGGAGCCTACTTACTCGAACTGAAAGTCGTGCAGCTGCCGCAGCTTGACCGCAAGAAGCTGCCGGGCCTTGGTGATGTCGTCCAAAGGCTTCGTTAGTGGCTCGTCGAAGAGTATGGCCTCTACTCTGCAGAAGCACGTCAGCGCAGTGAGGCGCGCCAGCATCATCGGAGGGGTGCTTTTTTTTGCCTTCCTTCCAGCGACTCTGGACCGGCCTGTGTCCAACGATGCCGCCTGTTGGTCGGTTTCAGTCGACATGTATTCGACGTACGCGCGCAAGCGCCATTTCGTTATTTTCGGCCCATGCAGGTGCTCCTCGTTACGCAGCGCCTCCCTCCATCTCGGCCCCATATCGTCGCCGATCTCCCTACCGATCTCGTCCTCGTAGATCACCTGCTCCTCTTTAGGCACTCCGTTGCTTCTCTCGGGTGCCAGAATTTTACAGGCCCAAGCTTTGTAGTGCATGCTTCCAGAGACATAGTTCGGCCGTGTGGAATCCTGGTCAACTCCCAGCAGCGGAACCTCACACCGGAGAATCCTGCTTTTAAGTGTTCCGGTCGCCAAGTACGGATTGTCTGCGCCCGGTTGGTCGCCGAGAATGTGCGCGGCATCCTCCTCTGATATATTTGCCGCAGCAGGCCGCAGAGGGTCCGGCGGTTCGACATCGTCCGCCTCCTGCTGTTCTCCCGTCCGAACATCCTCATCGTCCGTCGCTTCAGGGACGTTCCTGGCCAAGTCCTCTCTGCTTGGTCTCGTCGAAGTGCGCCTACGAGCGGCGGGGTCGGCTCGAGAAGCGGATGTACCGGCTGGGTGTGGTTGGCGAACCTCAGGCGGAACAGCCGTCGCTCTCCTACGTCGCCCAACTGTCGAGGTCGGTGCACCAGCCGAAGGTTCCGTCGAGCGGTGGGCTGTCGACGATGGTGCACGGTGAGCTGGAGCCTCGTGTGTAAAGGGGGCATTTGTTGTCGAGATGGGTTCTACGACAACAGGTATGGATTGACCTGTCGAAGGGAATTCGGTCTGTGCACCACCCACTTCAACAGTGACCGGAATACCCGTCGAACGTGGGTCCGTAACGACCGGCTGTATTACTACCGGTATGGCTCGCGACGTCGAGGTGGGCGCTGCCACCTCCGGTATGGCACGCGTCGTCGAAGGGGGCCTGTCTCTAGACGACGAAGGGGGTCGTGTCGATGTGGACTCCAATTCGACAGGTATACGTCCTACGTCCGCCTCCCGGGAAGGCGCTGTCGTCGACGGATCGGTCTCCATCAGTGCCCACCGAAAGCTACCAGTTCTCCCTAAATCCTGGCGTGCTGAGGAAACAGTGGTGCTTGTACTATGAATTCAGGTCTATACAGCGACATTGGGCTGATGTTGCTCCCCGTGGAGACTGAGACAGCAGTCAGCAGTTGACGTGACCGCTTGACTGCGACTGACGTGACCAGTCGCCCATCCGACAGCGACAGTTTGCTCGACCGTCGGCCGGTTGCGAAACGCGTTTCGCGACCGTCGACCGTCGGCGCCACCGTGTAGGCGATTCCCTGGCGACTTGCCACCGGGTGTAACCAGTGTCGTCGGGGGTGCACGGTGCTCGACGGCGATTGGCCGATGTCCGTCGAGCACTGTTCGACAAATGTCCCCGAAATTGCAACAGTACGGCCGACATATATATTGGCATACAGTCGAGTCTTAAGCATGCTTGCAATGACGGTTCTCCACTAAATTACCCTATATCTCCAACTCACTTCCATTATAACTTCTTTGGCCGGAACAGGTGAATCGTCAAACTTCCTCTCAAACCCAAGCTTCGATACAAGCTGTCTCGATACAGGATGGCGTCACAAGAAGCTGAACGCGTCGTGCGATCCATGGCCGTACTTATTCCCGTGGCGCGCGTTGGAACCTGGGGAGACACTCTCAACCGACGCGTTCTTAGCCACCGCCGCATTTGGCGGCGCAAACCGCGGAGCATTGCTCGCTCCAGCGGGTGCGACACTGGTGGAAGCCGTGGCCGCGACAGCAGAAGTAACGGCATCGCCTGCTGACGTGACAATAGCGGATGGGGTCACGGGAGTCACGGACACTCTTCTGGCAGCTGACGGGTCCCGTTTTCTACAGCTGACTTCCGCTTTTTCCACGTCGTCTAGTGGCGACGGTGCTTCTGGTAGTAGCAATGATAGTCCAAAAAATAGCAGTAGCGCGTTTGGCAGCCCAGGCGTGACGCAAGCGCTGTGCGAACTCAAACCCGCCGCATCGCCGACCAGCAACGAGTCACAGCAGGCGCAGCAGCAGCAGCAGCAGCAGCAGCAGCAGTCCCCGCGCCAGCTGTCGCTCTCGTTCTTTGCGCGCGCCAGCCTGTGCACGGAGGGGGAAGGGGGCGCGGAAGGGGAGGCGGGGCGGCTGCTGAGGGTGCTGCTGCTGGCAGTTCCGCTGAACGCCTCCGCCGCCGCCACAGCAGGGGGAGATGCAGCTGCTGGGGGAGGGGCGGGGGAAGGAGGAGCGGGGGAGCAGGTGTGGGCAGAGTGGCGGGTGGGTGTGCCGTGTGGGGGAAGCAGCGCGAGTTTGTCCGGCGCCTTGCCTTGGTTCCACGTGGGACCCCTCCTCTTCCCCCTCCCTGACCCCCCAGATTCCTCCTCCTCTTCTTCCTCCGCCTCCTCTCCTTCCTCGCTGGTAGTGCCCCCAGGGGGAGTGACGCTGCACTTGGTGATTCGAGGTGTGCAAGACAGTAACAGCAGCAGTAACAGCACGAGCGGCACTGCCACCGTTACCACCACCAGTGGTATTGCCACCGCCACAAGCAGCGTAGCTGCCAGCGGCAGTGAGAGCAGTAGCATCGGCGCCACCAGCGCCACTGTTGCTGCGAGTATGGGAGGAGGAGGAGCAGGAGAGGGAGCGGGAGTGAAGGCGGCGGCGGTAAAGCGAGTGGACGTGGCGTCGGAAGCGGGAGGAGGAGCAGGAGCGGGGAGCACGGCTATCGACCTTGCGTCTGTCATGCCTACCCGCAGTGAGTCAGAGAGGCAGAAATGGTTGGCAGGGTCACAGGTGTGTCACAGGTATAGCTGGCTGAAAGCATGCGCTGCACACATGCTCAACTCCCACTCAAGTGCATCATCGATTTCTCGTTGCACTTCTGCTCGCAATCCCACTTCCCGTTCACCTCCTCCCTCCCTTCCCCCCACTCCCCATCCCTGTCACTGCCCTGCAGCCAACCCCTCCCCTCTCAAGTCCTCCTCCCAATGGCTCTCCAACACCCAAGACTCACTCATTCCCCCTCCCTTCCCCATCCCTCCTCTCCCCCCCTGCCGCCCTTCCCCCCCACTCCCCATCCCTGTCACTGCCCTGCAGCCGACCCCTCCCCACTCAAGTCATTCTCCCACTGGCCGCTCTCCAGCGCGCACCCGCTCATCACAGCCGGCTCAGCTCGCCGCAATTCATCCTCCCTCTCCCTCACCTCACTCTCCGACTTCAATTCTGCCTCCCTCGCGCTGCACCCTGCCCCCTTCGCCCTGCTCGCCCCCGCCTCGCCCGCCTCCCCCTGCCGCCCCTTCTCCTTCTCCACCTCCTTCACCTTCCGCATCTCCTCCCCCAATGCCGCCGGGCTGGGCGGCGAGGGCTTGGCGTTTGTGATGCTGCCAACGCCTACGCTCGGCCTGCCGGGGCCCTCCCTGGGCTACGGCCGTGTGCTGCTGCCCCCGGGGAGTACAGCTGGTGCTGATAATTCCAGTTCCAGCAGTGGCGTGTCATCTCAGGTATGTGTTTCCTAAAGAACAGCTCCTGTCTCTCAATTCGGTGGGGATAGGCCGGGAGGGCATAGACGTTGTGATGATACCATTGCCCTCGTTCGGCCTACCACGAGGAGGTATGCTCATCAGTTTCATCTCTTTCTTCTCTCGCTCGCCTCCCGTGTTTCGTCTTCCTTCTCTTGCCTTCCGTCTTCCTTGTTCATTGTCTGCTGCTCTTCCTCTGCATGTCTTGCTCTCTTTTGAGGTGACTTTTGAGTCGACTCAAAAGTTGCTCTTCCTCTGCATGTCTTGCTCTCTTTTGCTGCTGCTTTGCGTTTCTGCTGTTCTCTTTATCTGCTGCTCCCCTTTGCTGCTCCCCCTCCCATGCACAGCAGCACAGGACAGGAGCCTCGCGGTGGAGTTCGACACATCTAAATCTCTCAAGCACTTCTCCCTCCCCTCCCTCTACCATCCACAGCAGCACAGGAGCCTGGCAGTGGAGTTTGACACATCGGCCTCCCTGGAGTTCTGGGACCGCCCCGACCACCACGTGGGGGTGAACCTGCACGGCAGCATGCTCTCTCTCGCCTCTGCCCCCGTGCACCCCCTCGCCATTCCCGCCCTCAACGCCGGCCAGACCCTCCTCGCCACCATCCACTACAATGCCTCCTCCTCCCACCTCACCGTCTACCTCTCCCCTGCCCCCGCTCCTTCCTCTTCCCCCCCTCCCCCACCCCCGCTCTCCTCTCGCTCCTCTTCCTCCTCCGCCTCCTCCCCCTCTTCCCCCTCTCTCCCTCGCTCGGCCGGGATCACCACATTCCCGAACACCTGCTCTAAACGCTCTCCTCGCTTCCCTCACTTCCCTGGTTTCAATCGCTGCCCTCGCCCCTCCCCCTCCTCTCCGTCCGCCTCCGCCTCTCCCCCTCTCCCACGCTCAGCTGTCCTCTCCATGTTCCTGGACACCTGCGAGTGGCTCGGCGGGAACGATCCGGATGCAGTTTCGCCCCCCCCGCCGCTGTTGGTGGGATTCACAGCGGCCACGGGCAAGGGGGCGGAGCAGGCTCAGGCACATGAGGTGCTGGGGTGGGATTTCCAAGTGGGGGAGGGTGAGTGATTTGTTTGAGAGTGAGCTTAACTTTGGTGTATAGACACATAGTGTGCGAACTCTTGAGTGACCCTAACAAGTTAGAACACAGCGGCCACGGGCAAGGGGGCGGAGCAGGCTCAGGCGCACGAGGTGCGGGGGTGGGATTTTGAAATCGGAGAGGGTGAGTATAGTTCACTTGCCGTGCCCTTGCATTACTTGATCACCTGTGAATAGCTCGACACGTGTGAGGAGCTTGGGAGGATGAGTTGAGTTCAGTTGCCTCCCCACTGCCTGATGTAGGCCTGGTGTAGGCCTGGTGTAGGCCTGGTCTGGTGTAAGCCTGGTGTAAGCCTGGTGTAGGCCTGGTGTAGGCCTGGTGTAGGCCTGGTGTAAGCCTGGTGTAGGCCTGGTGTAGGCCTGGTGTAGGCCTGGTGTAAGCCTGGTGTAGGCCTGGTGTAGGCCTGGTGTAAGCCTGGTGTAGGCCTGGTGTAGGCCTGGTGTAAGCCTGGTGTAGGCCTGGTGTAAGCCTGGTGTAAGCCTGGTGTAAGCCTGGTGTAAGCCTGGTGTAAGCCTGGTGTAAGCCTGGTGTAGGCCTGGTGTAATTCTGATGAAGGCCTGATGTTGGCCTCGGGTGTGTGGGATTTCTTGCCTGCAGCACTGGTTGGCAGGCAAAGGGAGGGAGGGACCGGGCGCACACGTGAATGGTTTCCTTATTATGTGCTTGTTTACACAGTTACATGGTAACACGGTTACACGAGTACACCCCATGATCCCCATGGTGCGGGCTAAGAGGCACGCACACACCCCACGACTCGTGGTGTGATTGTTGCCCTCACGCACTGCACTCCTTCAGCCGACCCGAACCCTCCCCCCTCCCCACCCCACCCCTGCCCCCCCCTGTCCTCTCCCCTTCCCCCGTCGCACATATCATGCCCTTCCCCCATCGCACATATTATGCCCTTCCCCCGTCGCACATATCATGCCCTTCCCCCGTCGCACATATCATGCCCTTCCCCCGTCGCACATATCATGCCCTTCCCCCGTCGCACATATCATGCCCTTCCCCCGTCGCACATATCATGCCCTTCCCCCGTCGCACATATCATGCCCTTCCCCCGTCGCACATATCATGCCCTTCCCCCGTCGCACATATCATGCCCTTCCCCCGTCGCACATATCATGCCCTTCCCCCGTCGCACATATCATGCCCTTCCCCCGTCTCACAAATCATGCCAACCCCATCATGCCAGAATGAATTCGCTGCCATAGTGAGTGAAGCTCCAAGAAACCTACCTCCCATAGTCCCCAGTGTCCCACAGTCCACTCCCTTACCCTTCCCTCCCCCCCCTTGCCCTCGCCCCTCCACCATGCCAGCCCCAGAAGCACAGAATACCCAGAACCTACCTCCCATAGTCCCACTGTCCCACCCACCCACGGTCCACCGTTGAGGCGACTCAAAAGGAACCTACCTTCCTCCCACAGTCCCACGGTCTACACCATAGCCTAAGGTTGAGAGCATTTCTTCATGCCTACCCTAACCCTCTCCCCGCCCTGCCCTGCCCTCACCCACATTCCATGCCAAACCCAGCAGCGGAGGATCCGCTTCCGTTTTGGGCAGCAGACTCGTTCTCCTTCCCCTACATCACGCCAGCCACTCCCCTGCTGACACGTGGCAGCACCAAAAAACGCTTCTTCGCCGCAGATCTCTCTGTCGCTGCTGACGTGGCATCATCCAGTGGCCAATCGGACGATCCCGCCCCCGGAGCCATCTACTTCCCTCGCCGTCTCCCCCTCCTCTACTCTTCCTCCTCCCCTCCCTTCCCACCTCCTCCTCCTCCTCCTCGTCCTCGTCCTCGTAGCTCCCCCCATTCCTCTCCTTCCTCCCCCCCTCCCCAACCCACAGCAACCGAACCCCCAACCTGCATGGCTCGCTCTTTCACCTTCACATACGGCTTTTCCCTAAATGTATCTGCTTCCCATGGGCTCACGTTCGTTATAAGCACTCATGCGACCCTGGGCCTAGGCGGGTTTTATATGGGGTATGGCCGGGACCCATCCTTGAGACTCGCTAATGGCAGCTGGCCGGACGGCGCGCGGAGTGTAGCTGTGTTTTGGCAGCCGGATATGGACGATGTATATACTATACACTTTGGCGTTAACACTGACTTCAACATGACTTCCATTTTTACGGGGAAGTTGTCAACTGTCGTGGAGCCTGAGGAGGTGTTGCAGATGAGGGTTGACTATAACGGGAGGAGCAAGGAGATGCTGATCAGATGGTACCAACCCCCTCTTCTAGTAGGCAGCTTGAACGTCTCTCTTGACCTCTGTGCTGCTCTCACTGGGCCCTCTGCTGCCAGTGGAAGCAGCAGTGGCGGCGGCGGCAGCGGCAATGGTAGTGGCAGTGGCAGCGGCAGCAGCGGCAGCAGCAGCACCACTACCACCACCACCACCACAAGTGGCAGCAACAGCAGCAGCAGCAGCAGCAGCAGCAGCAGCAGCAGCAGTGACAGCAGTGCAACGGACCTGTCATCGCCATCCTTTGGGCAGCTGGTCGTTGGGTTCACCAGCGCTGCTCTCCCTCCCCCCCCTGGCCGCCTGCCTTCCCCCGTCGCCCTCTCCTCCTGGACCTTCCGATTCACAGGTAGGGGGGAGGGGAAGTGGGCGAGATGGGGGGTAGGAAAGAGAGAAGGGCTAGTGAGCCACGTGCCCTGCCTTCCCCCGTCGCCCTCTCCTCCTGGACCTTCCGATTCACAGGTAGGCCCCTTGCAACCCCACGTATCCCCTTGCATTCCCGCGTATCCCCCTTGCAACCCCACGTATCCCCTTGCATTCCCGCGTATCCACTTGCAACCCCACTTATTTCCTTCAACCCCATGTATCCCCTTGCACCAAGGCACCTGCCCCATGGGATTCGTTTACCTTGTGTATCACACCTTCTCTCTCAAATATTCCTTGTTCTCGTTTTCCCTCTCCCCCAACAGACACCGACCCCTGCAAGGGTTCTCCGGTGCTCCCCTGTGGCACGGGTGCATGCACCAAGGCACGTGCCCCGTGGGACCCGTCTGTCCTCGTGCCCTCCTGCAAGTGCCCCTTGAATCTCCCCTCCTTCCAACCCTCCCACCTCTCCGGCCTGCCCTCCTGCTTCCCTGGTGAGACGTGGAGTGTGGTAGGCAAGAAGTGGAGTGCGGTAGGCACGAGGTGGGGTGCTGTAGGCAAGAGGTGGAGTGCGGTAGGTGAGAGATGGAGTGCAGTAGGTGAGAGGTGGAGTGCAGTAGATGAGAGGTGGAGTGCGGTAGGTGAGAGGCAGAGCGCAGTGGGTGAGAGGTGGATGCACTAGGTGCCCTTTTGGTTTGTTTGTGGCTGATATAGTTTTCTACGCATGCACTCATTCTAGATCCACAACATTCTTCAGAAAATGAAAAAGTTTGTACTACTAAATCTTTAATCAACCTACTCTTTTTTTTTTCTTTTTCTTTTTTTCTGTTGAAATTTTACAAATGGTTTGCACTCTAATGCGCTATGTCCGCTCCTGCAATACCCTTCTTTCTCGTTTCCCCTCCTTTCCCACCCACCGCCTTTCCCCTTCCCGTGTCTTCCCCTTACTCCTCTTTTCTCGTTCTCCATCCCCCTTTCCGCTTGCCCCCTTGTCCCCCTGTCCCATTTTCCCGCTGTCCCCTTTTCCCCTCAACCTCTCACTAGATTCCTTCACATGTCATTAGCTCTTCCACAACCCATGTGTACCCCTGATGTTCCTTCCCTGTTATCAGGGATTTGGATCAATGGCGTGCTGCTGTGCTGCTCACTCACTTGATATAAGTAGAGTTGTGAGACGTCTCAAAACTCTACCTTTCTCCCATGTGCTCTGGGGGTGTGCATCAATGGTGTGCGCCTGTGCTGCTCACTCACTCCTGCTCTCTTTCCACTCTGCTCCCCCGATTCTCTTTCCCCTTCCCCCCCTCGCTTAAACAGACTCCTTCACGTGTCGCCAGTTCCCCCGCAACCCATGTGCCCCGGGGGTGTGCATTGATGACGTAGACGGCACCTACTCCTGCCTCTGCCCCTCGCCCTTCTTCCCCTTCTATTTCTACCCCAAAGGCGCTGCCCGCTGTTACCAGTGTGCGTATCACTTGTCAGATCGCTTGCTTGCTTCCTTGCTCGCTTGCTTGCTTGATTGCTTGCTTCTACCAGCCTTTGCCCCTCGCCCTTCTTTCCCGTCTACTTCTACCTGAAAGGCGCTGCCCGCTGTTACCAGTGCGCGTATCACTTGTCAGATGGTCTTGCTTGCTTGCTCGCTTGCTTGCTTCCTTGCTTGATTTATCTCTAGCACATTGGTCAGCTGGTCTTGCTTGCAACGGCTCTCAGCGCATCACATGGACCTCGTATCTCATGTGCTTACATCTTATTGGCTCATCCCATGGACTTATATATCGTTATTGTTATTTCCCCATGCATGCCTACCCCATGCATGCCTACCCCATGCATGCCTACCCCATGTATGCTTACCCCATGCATGCTTACCCCATGCATGCTTACCCCATGTCTTCTTACCCCGTGCATGCTTACCCCATGTCTGCTTACCCCGTGCATGCAGTGCGATTGGCTGAGACTCGAATGCCCACCTTTCTGTCGCCATACGGCCTCACATGCGCGCTCATCCTCAACACATACGGGCTCACCCAAGCAGACTTCTTCGCCCAAAACAAGGTCCGGAGTTGAACTGAAGGTAGGCATAGGCTGTGCTCTGTTTAGATCTGAAAAGCATTTCAGTTGAAACATTACCTGAAAGGCTTAGGTTAGGGAGGGGTGTTAAACGGAAGGGAGGTTGAGGCTGTGGTTGGGGGGGTCAGCACGTTTCACATCACATCACTTGTGCGGATTCTCAACATAGGCTCGGCTGTGGTTGTGCGGAGATAACTAGTGCAACGGGAGCTAGACTGCAGGCTAGGCACGGGGCAAGAGTGATCGTAGCGTTCGTTCGTTCCTTAGTCGTTTCCAAATGCTAATACTGCTTGCTAGTTCACGGGGAAAATCGGCAAGAGTTTCACTAGGAAAACATGAAAACAAAATTGCAGAATGATTGCATCAACATTGGCAACACTGACTACATCAGACCTAGCAAGGCTTGCTGGTCCACTGCCAGCGCAGCACGGTCGACCGCGTGCCAGCACAACTCTGTCGACCGCGCTCCAGCAGAGCAGAGTCGCGGCTTGCCAACGTTGCAAGTCCGCGGTGCGCCAACGCTGCAGTATGTCGGCTGCACAGCGTCGCATCCGCGGGACAACGGTGCACCAGCTTCGCAGGTGCGTGCAGCTGGTTGGCGCCCAACTCCCCGTTACATGCCTAGTGCCGACACTTCGCCCGTGACGGCGCCCACCAGCCACGTCGACCTCGGGATACCACCCCCGAGATCGCCATCGTAGATAACATTCCCGGCGACTTTCGCGTACGTCGCCCGGGTACCCTGGTTGACCGGGTACCTCGCGGTCCTCCCGCGGTTTCTCGGTCACCGCGGTCCTCTGCGGGTTCGTGGATCCACGATCGCCCGTGATTTCGTGGCTCCGCGGTCCCCCACGATTTCGTGGCTCCGCGGTCCCCCACGATTTCGTGGCTCCGCGGTCCCCCACGATTTTGTGGCTCCGCGGTCCCCCACGATTTTGTGGCTCCGCGGTCCCCCACGATTTCGTGGCTTCGCGGTCTCCCACGATTTCGTGGCTCCGCGGTCTCCCACGATTTCGGGGCTCCCACGGGCCACTGCCATTTCGTGGCTCCCACGAGCCACTGCAGATTCGAGGCTCCCACGGGCCACTGCAATTTCGTGGCTCCCGCGGTAGGCTCCGCCCAAGCGAGGACGGGGCCAAACACAACTTCCGCTGACACTCCCCTGTTGCGTTCACGCTTGGGCCCCTCTCCCGGCCCACACGGCAGTACTGCTCGAAGAATAGCCCGTCCGCGTGCACACAACGCACAGCATGCCGGTCACCGCACCAGCCATGAAAAAGGGCATGGCACCTACTGCTGCACATTGTTGTCACCGTCGCCCACATCGGTCAGGCGCACTTGGCCGATTGCAACGAAGCACCGGTTGAAGGCCGGGTAGTGCAGCGCCTTTGTCAGGAAGTCGGCCGGCTGCTCAGCGGCCGGGATGTACTTCTGCAAAAACTTCCCGCGCTTCACCATGTGTTGCAGCCAGGCCTGTCGCCGTTCCATGTGCTTGACGTTGCCCGTTAACCCCATGCCCTCGCCGACCGTGATAGCCGACTTGTTGTCCACCCTAATGACAGTCGACTTTCCGGCTTCTAGCCGCTGGAATTTCGCGAGAAGGAAGCGAAGGCGACGTCCCTCCTTGCCGGCTTCGACGGCCGCCACGTACTCCGACTCGGTCGACGACAGCGTTGCGCACTTGATGCGCTGGCTCGACCAGGAGACCGCGGCCCCCCCGTAGACGAACACGTAGCCGCCCATGCTCATCCGGTTCTGCTTGTCGCCCGCGTCGTCGGCGTCCACGAAGCCGACCAACTCCAGTGACTCTGGACCACCGCCGTACTCCAGAGCGGTGCCTCGCGTGTTGGCAAGGTAGGTGAGACAGCGGTCGACTTCGCGCCAGTGCTGGTCCTCCTCACCGTGAGGCCGCTCCCCAGCTTGCTGCATGCGAATGCGATGTCCGGCCTCGTTGTCGTTGGCGCGAACTGCAGCGAGCCGACCTTCTGCCGGTACTCCTCCTCCTCACGCTCCTGCGCTTCCTCGTCGTTGAATGTCTGCTCCGCGTAGGCGGCGACGGAGACCGGCGTCTTCGGAGTGCGCCCAGTCTGCTCCTCGTCGATGAAGCGCCTGCGCAGCTTTTCGGCGTAGCCCTGCTGGTGCAACCACAATTTTCGCGCCGGCCTGTCGCGCACGATCTCTAGGCCGAGATACTTCTGCACCGGCGAAATTTTGCGCAGCTCCAAAGCGGCCTCCAGCAGCTCCTTCAGCTCCTTCAGCATCGCGGTGCTGCTGCTCGCGGCGAGAAGGTCGTCGACGTAGACCAGCACCCAGCAGGTCACCTTGTCGTCGCCGGCCTTGAAGTACAGAGCCTCATCGACTTGGCTCTTCTTCCACCCGGTGCCAACCAACACGTCGTTGAGAGCCGTGTAGCACAGCATCGGCGACCGCTTCAGCCCGTAGAGGCTCTTCAGCAGCTTACACACCCGGCCAGTCCCGTCGTTGAAGTAGTCCGGTTGGTACATGTACAGCACGCGGTCGAGCTTGCTCTGCAAAAAAACATTCTTCATGTCCAGCTGCATCAGGTTGAGGTCGAGGACGGCGACGATGCTGAGGAACATCCTCAGCGTGACGTAGCTGCTCACCGGCGCGTACGTCTCGTCGTAGTCAGCGCCATACACCTGCGTGAAGCCTTTCACGACCAGCCTCGCCTTTTCGCGCTCGACAGTGTCGTCGATGCGGTACTTCGTGGTCAGCACCCACCGGTTCTTCATTAAATTCACCCCTGCCGGGCGTTCGACCAGCTCCCAAGTGCCCATGTTGATGAGGCTACGAGTCTCCTCCATGGCGGCTTTCACCGCCGGGCCCTTCTAGCTCGCCAACGCCTCCTTCACCGCAATGGTCGAAATGTCCCAACGGTGCTCGGGATCAGCGTGCATGTCGGGGTCGAGCTCCAAAAACTCCTCATCGTCTTCGGCGTCATCGTACGCCAGGTCGTCGTCGTCCACATCGTAGACCGTGGTGAAGGCAGCGGGGGCGAAGAAGTCGTGTGGCCTCCGAATTCGGCCCGACTTCCGAGGTCCAGGCTGCACCTCCACCACGTCGCTCGATGTGCCTTCATCGAATTGCTCCCCTGTCGTCCGCTCCTCTGAAGCGAGCTCCGCGTTCGACGGCTCCCCTATCGACGACTTCTCTGAAACGCGCTTCCCGTTCGAGAGCTCCCCTGGCGACGGCGTCTCTGGCACGCGCTTCCCGCTCGAGAGCTCCCCTGTCGACGGCTTCTCTGGCACGCGCTTCCCGTTCGAGAGCTCCCCCGTCGACGGCTTCTCTGGCACGCGCTTCCCGTTCGAGAGCTCCCCTGTCGACGGCTTCTCTGGCACGCGCTTCCCGTTCGCGGTCCCGTCCGCGATCTCCTTCGCGGTTTTCGCGGTGTCCTTCGCGGTGCCCGTCGCGGTGTTCTTTGCGGCCTCCTTCGCGGTTTTCTCCGCGGCTTCCTTCGCGGCGTCCAAAGTTGGCTGCACATCCGCGGCCCGCTTCTCCGCGACTGGATGGGCTTCACGTCGGCCACCGGCGATGCTCCTGGCCGGCGCCGCAGGCGACGCCCCACGACTCCCCTCATCGCCGGAGGCCGACACCGATGTCAAGCCACGCAGCCTGACGGGAAGGGGAGGGGAAGAAGGGGCAGGAGAGGGCGAGGCAGGGGCGACTGCGACATCCTCATCAGCCTGCTCACCGACCTCGGCGAGCAGAGGAAGCGTTGCCGTCGAGGTGTGCGCCGGCGGGTTGGCCCGCGTCCGCCCCGACGTGGGCCCGAATTCCGACTTCCACACCTCCAGCGACAGAGTTTCGTAGAACACCACGTCCGACGTGGTGACCACCCGGTTGTCAGCGATGTCAAGGAGCTCCCAGCCCTTGCTCTCCTCCGACACGCCGAGGTGAAGGCCCCACCGGGCCTACGGCTTCAACTTCCCACCGCGCTGCTGCTCAGGGACGAGAAATTGTGCCATGCAGCCCCACACCTGCGCCAGTGACAGGTCGGGCTTCTGCCCGGTGAGAAGCCGGTACGGCGTCGTCCCCGCGGGCAGCGTCGACCGCTCCAGGCAGTTGCGAACCCAGACGGCCTGCCGCAGAGCGAGATGCCACCAGTGGTGCTGCACGCCCATGTGCAGCAGCATTGTCCGCACCGACTCCACCACCGTCCTCATCTCCCGCTCCGCCATGCCATTCTGCTGCGGGGTGTAGGGGCATGTCAAGTCGTGAACGATGCCCTTGCTGTCCACGAAGGCGGTGAAGTCCTTTTCGAGGAACTCCCCTCCGCGGTGAGAGCGCAGTTGCAGCATTGAATGCTTCGCCTGCCGCTCCACCAGCACGAGCCACTTCTGGAACTCCAGCAGCACGTCCGACTTCTTGGCGACCGGCCGCACCCACACGTAGGGGGTCTTGCGGTCCTTGAGCAGCAGGAAATACAGGCTTCCGTCTTTGGCAGCCACGCGAAATGGCCCGCACAAGTCGATGTGCACGACGGCCAGGACATCGTCTGCTTCGGAGCCGTGGTCGGGGAAGGTGTGCCGCGCCAGCTTCCCGCCGATGCACGAAACACACGGTGAGTCGGCGCCAGACACCGACTTGAGGTCCAGCTCAGTGGCGACCTCGTGCTTCGCCGAGCTCCGTATCGTGTCCATGCCAATGTGCGCAAGCCTCGCATGCAGCCTGCTCGGGGTTGCCTTCGTTGCCGAGACAATCGCCTGCAGAGCCACCTCCTCTTTCGCGGGCGTCGTCGCCTTTTCCGCGTATGGGCGTAGGTCAGTGCAGAAAACCCGGCCGGTGTACGTCGCTCGACCGAGTACGTCCCCCGCCGCGGAGACGAGCAGCATCCGATCTCCGTCGCTTTTCAGCGTCATTCCGCTCTCCTTCAGCTGGCCAGCCGAAAGTAGTTTCGCCTGCACAGGCGGGATGTAGAGAACATCAGAGATGAGCACTCGCTTCCCGGCCACCCCTTGCAGCGCAACCGTGCCACG